AGGGTTGAGGGACCTCTGAGGGATCAGGGTCCTCCAGGGGCTGCGGGACATCCAGGGGCTGTGAGATCTCCAAGGACTCAGGGACCCCCTCCAGCCCCTCCTCAGCTCCACCAGGCTCCCCCATCCTAGGAAGGGACTGATGGGGCACCTCACAGGACACCCAAAATAAGGGAGAGTGAACAAAACCAGGAGCCTTAAATAGCCCTGAGGCCAGCGAGGCTCAGGTGGGGCTCATCTGGGCCTGATGAGGGGCACAGGGCGGGGCAGGGGGTGCTCTGCCTGCACCCCTTCTCCACTCACCCTCCCAGCCTGGGAGCAACAGAGCCCCGATCCCAAAAAGGCATCCCAAAACCATCCTGATCCCAAAAAGGCACCCCAAAAACATCCTGGGAGGACACTGGGGGTCTGTACAGGGATGAGCACCAGGATCACTCCACAGGGAGAGACGGGTCAGTTTGAGGGGCCCTGTGTGTCCCCAGAGATGTGGGAAGCGCTTTTGGGTGGGGAGAAGAGAAATATGAGGATTAATAACACGAGGGCTGGCTCGGTAGATGGCAGTGTTAGTCCCTGTCGTGCTGGAAAACTGAGGGAGGCTGGGGAAAGAAGAAGGGAAAAATCTCACTTTTTCCCCCCCAAACTGAAGCCAGGTCACCCTGGGTTATTCACCGTGGAGGGAATCTCACCTCAGTCCCATCACTGGGATGGATTCCCCCTCCCCTCTGGTGTTTTCATGGGGAAAAGCCCTCCAAGGTAACTCATCCTGCTTTTCCCGGGGGGAGTTGAGGGCTCCAGAGGGGAGTGGGTGCTCTGTGGGGGTGGGGGGGCATGGACGTGTTCCCCCATGGAGGGTTGGGGCTGCCGTGCCTCAGTTTCCCCAAACCTGGAAGCACCTGAGGGGGGCTGGATACCATCCTCAGCTGTTCCAGGATCCTGGAAGTTTGTTCTGTGTCCGTAGGAAGAGCAAGGGTGGGGAGCAAATTGTAAAGAACCCCCTTAATGCCCTTAAAATGAGCCTCCGAGGCACCTGGAAGTTAATTGAGGTTTGAATTAGAACCTGGAAAAACCCAATTTTCCCCTCTTTAATGCTCCTTAATGAGCTTCCCTATCCCACAGCCAGCTCTGGATAATCCCATTATTCCTGCCCCAATCTGGGCATAATTCCAAGATCTGACAAACTGATCCAAGGTGTGAAGTCACCCCAAAACGGGTCTGTGCCCGGCTGCTCACCTGGATTCACCTGAGGGAGCATCCAGGGGGAACTGGGAGGGTTGAATCTCCCAGCTGGGGTTTGCTCCTTCTCTGTGTCCAGAAAAGCTGGAAAATGCTCCAGGTTGGATGGATGAGGATTAAATATCGAGGGAAAAGTCAGGAGCAGGAGATGGAAAAGGGCCTGCTGGAAATGGGGTTTGCAGGGGATGTGCCCCGAGGGGAAACAAGTGGAACTGGGGGGAAAGGAATGGGGGGTCACAGTTATTGGGATCAGGGTTATTGGGAGTCATGGTTATGAGGGACCCAATTTTTTAGGGGTCACAGTTATTTAGGGACCACATTTTTTAGGGGTCATTTTTTTAGGGGTCACAGTTATTAGTGACCACAGTTATTAGGGACCACATTTTTTAGAGGTCACAGTTATTAGGTTTTGGGGCTATTAGAGGTCACAGTTATTAGGGCTCATAGTTGTTAAGGACCATGGGATTTAGGGGTCACCGTTTTTAGGGATCACTATTATTAGGGATCATGTCTTTTAGGGCTCACTTTTAGGGGTCACAGTTATGAAGGACCATGGGTTTTAGGGGTGATAGTTATTGGGGATCACAGTTATTAGGGTTTGGGGTTGTTAAGGGTCATGGTGATTAGAGACTGATTTTAAGGGATCAGTGTTATTAGTGGTTATGGTTATTAGGAACTACAGTTTATTAAGGGTCATAGTTTTTAAGGACCATGCTTTTTAGGGGTCACAGTTATTAGGGACCACATTTTTTAGGGATTTTTTTTTTAGGGGTCACAGTTATGAGGGGTCAGGGTAATTAGGG